GCCACCTTTCTCATCCAGCTGTTGCATCCTCCCCTCCCCCATCCTTATGTGGCTTTCCCCCTCCTCTCCAGCTTCTCAGGCACCCCAGCCCATTCCCCAGGTTTAGGCCCCTCAAGGACCCCCTCCCTTTCCCCACACACCCCTCACACTCCTTGGCCTAAAAATAAGCAAGTGTCCTTTCCACGTCGTTGAGGCAGGCTCCTGATCACGGAGGCTTTGACAGAGGGGAGCGGATCTGTAGGCAGAGGGAGGAGCAGTGAGTATCTCTTGGACACAAGAGGGCCTCCCTTCTAGTACCTGCCCCTCTGGAGAGGAGTGCTGGTGAGCGGCCTTTCTACAGGGCTAGGTCCCTTCACCCCATCCTTGGGCCCTCGGGCCACAATCCAAGAACACCATTTCCCATGGACCCCCGTGCCCAGGGTGAGAGTCACACCAAGCTAAGGCAAGCAGAAGAGATTCAGGAAGTCCCTGGAGTTCCTCTAGGCTTTAGGGCTTACTCCCTCCTATTCCACATTTAAGGGCCAAAAAAAAGGATTTGCCTTCTCAAACCTGCCCACTCATCCGCTCATTCACACTGAGAACTGAGGTGCTCACACAGGACCAAGTTTGATGCCTCAACTCCCAGTGAACGTGAAAACACAACTAAGGCCTCAATTCCCAACTAAACCCAGAAACGGGAAGAGGCGGGGAATTCAAGTGAAGGAGGTGGTTCGAGAAATTGACAGCCCTCCTCCCCCTTTCCCCTCTAAATTCCAGTTGCTGCCCCATAGGCCCTCCCTGTGTGGTGGTAGATAACGTGGTAGAGGTAGCCTTTGCCAGGAAGAGGACCCTAAGTCCTAGTCCCACCGCCCTGGATCTGCCATGGCTCATCCTGTGCAGTCCGACCTCTCTGCTGCCAGGGTCTGGGGAGAAAGAAAAGCCGAGGGAAGTAATCCCTTCAGAAGGATGGGTTGGCTTGGCAGCAGAAGACATAGGGGCTTCCTGGTGGCGTAGATTTGACTCCAGGGACTGCTCTGTGTGGTTCATTTGCTCCTCGTCTTGTGTGCACTGGGGAAAAGGCGAAAGGAGACAGCAACACCATTCCAGGGAACATTCCAGAGAAGAGGCATCCAGGTTAGAGAGCCCTTGCCCTTTGGCTTCTGGTTTGCCCTCCTCTTGTGTCTCTGTCCCCCAATCCGACCGGACCTCCCTACTGCCTCCTGCTTTGAGAAGGAAGGGAAGAGAGCTCATCAAGCGCCTACTCCGTACTTGGCTTCACTTTCGCCGTGGCTAGTGTTTGTGGGAAGCTTCCCCTGTGCCAGTGTCTGGGCCCAGAACGTCATCCGGGTAATCTCCGTAATGCTCGTAACGAGGAGGGTTTTTTGGCCAAAGAAGTATGTTGTTCCAAGTCAAAAACTTTGTGACCAGAGCTGAGATTGGCTCTCAGGACAGTGGGGCCCAAAGCTGGTGCTTGCGTGGAGGCGCCACGCCGTCCACTGCACGGCTGCCCCTTCCTCCAGTGGAGATAGGAGGAAATGGAAGTGAAGTCTCCTACCCAAGGTCACCCAGCTGGTAGGGAGCAGGGCGGAGACCTCAACTCAGGCCTCTGAACGTGCGCCTGGCCTCCCCCCACCCCTCTGACACGCAGCTGTCCTCAGATCAGTGCCAGGAATAGACGAGCAACGTGTCATTCCGACGGTCTCTTTTTCAGTTTGAAAGACGCTTTAAATTGATTTCAGAAGCAGTTCGCTCTTAGGATGGAGAAAGTAGCGTAAGGCAAAAGAAGAAACTAGAAACATCTATAATGCCACCGATGTAGACACGTTCCACTTTGTTAGCTGCCCTTCTTACACCTTCAGCTCAGGCCCTGCTAGTGGAAATAAGTTGAAAGTCCCCTGAGACCCCGGAGTCCCGGAGCAGGAAAGACCCGCAGGAGCAGGCCTGACCCATCGCACCTGGCTCTTTTCCTCCTCTTCCTTGCAGCCCTTGGTGGGTGGGGCTGAGGGTAACCCTGGATCACCTGGCCAAGGTGAGGGTTCGCAGCTGCTAAAGAGAACAGGTTCCAAAGAGAGCCAGCCAGATGGTAAAGCTGGAGAATGCAGGCTCAGGCCTCGCCTTGGGTCCAGAGGAAGTGGAAAGGCAGGGTGCGCCCAGGAAGGACCTCGGCCCTGGGAGAGGAACACTACTGCCCTTAGGACCCGGTTGCGTGGATCTGGGAGTGGAGATTTGCCCTGGGCTGCCAGGAGACTGAGACCAAGTCTGCCTTTATCTGGTCAAACAGAAGAGAGGGCCCCTTCAGAATCCACCAAGACAGGCCCGGGACCTGGCTGCCCAGGAAGGCAGAGGAAGGAGGCGCCACTATGCCCATTGGCTCCGGACCTCCTCCTGTTCCACCTGACAGGGGAGTGCGGGCGTGCACAGGGGTTAGTGTAGTGGAAGCCAAGGTTCTCAGAGTGGACCCTGTCAAAGAGCAAAACCACACCAAACGGACATCAGATGGACAGGAAGCTTGGCCCTCGGGGTTCAATCCTATACCCTCTCAGGCTCCCACAGCATGTCAGGTGGTAGTTGGGACTCCAAAGACGTAGGTCCCCTGGATCACTGAAGTTCTCCCTCCCGGGGGCCTATTCCAGGGAGAAGGGGGGATCTCACCTGTCCTTGAGGGGGAAATGAGGGGGAGAACAGCAGACAAGTCCCCGGATTGAGACAGGTGCACCTGCATCTGGCCTGAGCACCTGGAGGGCCCGGCCAGCAGCTTGGCATTGGTGGGCAGTTCTTGGGACCGGAGGGCACTCAGAGGAGGTTCCGTTGGCACAGGCCTTCAACATGCCATGCTGGATGACGGAGGAGGAAGGATACATGGTGGTATCCTGTCCCCGAGCTGCCCTGGTGGCCTTGTGACGGGCATTTTTGAAACACCCACAATACATCATGTAGCTGAAATCGGATGTGCAGGGAGTTTGGGATCAAGGGTGGGCGCATGGGCAGGGGGCCACCTCATGTCCTCTGCTGGCTTAAAAAAGACTTAAACCCAGAGCCAAATCAAACCCATTGCCCTCATGCTGAGTCTACCTCGGCCCAACTCCACTGGCCAGAGCAGAGTGCTTGCTAGCATCCCCAGCGCTGGGGACCTTCCTGAAGGCAGGCAGCTTCATCTTTCTCTCCCTGAGAGGCGAGGGGGCTCAACCTGCTAACGTTCGGGCCAGAGGCACGACCAGAGTGCCTCCTGCTGATTTAGGTGACTGAGCAGCTGAAACCTAGCCTCCCAGGGTGCCCGGAGAACCTCTTCCCCAGAAGATGGGCGGTTTAGGGGCTACCCGGTCCCCTCCACCCTTCGGGAGAGTTCTGCATTGTAAACGCTTGAGGTGGGCTTGTTACATCCCCGCCCTTCCCCCACCTTCTGCATAATTGATGACCTTCCTCCCTTAGGGTGGGGCCAGGGGCTCTTAGCCGGGCTGCACCCCACCCTACCCCAAAGCCCTAGCGCCACGGCCCAGCTGGAGACTAGTGGGCGCAGCTGGTAGGTCAGGGCCAGTGGGACCCGGGAGCGAGCGCGCGCGTGCGCACGTGTTGGCAGAGGATCTCGGGTTTACTGTTGCCCCTGGGTCCGCAGCCTGAGAACCCGACTGGAGGTCAGTCAGCCCGGCTGATGCCCGCTGTCCCTGGCTCCATTTCCTCCTCCTCCAGCTACTCTCACCGTCCCCCAAGACACACAGGTGACATGGCTTCCCTCGGCAGCTGCTGGCCCTGGATACCCGAACGGGCTCTGGGGAGGCCTGGCGGGGAGGCTCGGCTTCAGATGTGGCTGAGCCCGTCACCCTCTGTATGCCAAGCCACCAGCCGCAGGCCGGCAATTGCCGTACAAAGCCAGCCCCAAAGCTCGGCTTCTCCAGAGAAAACGAGCTGGGCGGGAGGGTGGTCTCCGTGTTTCGGACCCCGTGCATGTCCATGGCCATCTCTTCTTTCTGCGAACAGCCCCCCCCGGGGGGAGGCCTGCTCTGCGGGATTTCACCGGCCCCGACTCCGAACCGAACGGGGCTCCTCTCTGGGCCCTGGGGTGGCACAGCGCCCCCGGGCCGGCCTCCCCTCCGACAGCGCCCGGCCGCCGCGGGCAGGGTCGGCCTGCGGGGTGGGGGCGCAGCCACGCGGGCCGGTCTGGGTCAGGGGCGGGGCCGGGCGCAGCCGCGCCCCCAGTCGCCGCCGCTCACGTGACTCTGGGCTAATCTGGGCCCGGTGACTTCACGCGACACCTCGGGCTCAGTCGTCATGGTTACGCCGCAGCGCCCGGCGCCTCCCCCTACCTGCTGTGCTCTGGGTTGCCCACCTCGACCCCCTCCTCCCTCTGCCGGAGCCGCCGCCCCACCCCGAGCCACGCGCCACGTGATGCCCGGGAAAGAGGTCGTGAGGAGGGAGGGGGCCCTGTGGCCGTAACCCCTTACTTTCCGCTTCGCTGCTCCAGGACCGGCCGCCTAGCGGGCCGGGCCCTGGGCTCTCCACGCGAGCCAGCGCTCTGGGTCCTTCGGAAGGACAGTCAGTCCCGGGCGCAGGCGGGGCTCACGGTGACAGACATGGCCGAAGCGCTCCCGCCTCGGGTCTCCAACTCCTCTGGAGAAAGAGGAGGCAGCCCACTCCCATAAGGAGTCACAGCCTCGCCCTGTCTGGTCGCTATGGGTCGGAATGGCAGCAAGATCCGTGCTTGACTAATCTGTGTGACTGCTTAACCTCTAAGCCTCTGAGGACTCCTGGGACGTGGGGGGCACTCGGAGCTGCCCGGGCCTGATTGTGCCTCCGTTTGCGCCAGAATACATCGGGAGTCTCCCTCACTGCCATGGCATCCATGCCGACCCACAGCAACCGTAACAGGCCAGCCTTGAGCTGCGTCCCCGCCACCGCCGCGCCTGTAGCTCTCAGGGTGCAGAAAGGCCTGTCCCACGTGGAGCCTCCGGCGGGTGGTTTCTAACTGTTGACCTTTCGGATTGCAGCCCAGACTCGTAACGCTACGTCACCAGGACCCCATAATGGGAGCGATACGCTGTATTTAGGCTTCAAATAATTCGTGAAAAAATGGAATGCAAAGATAACGGAAGGGGCCCATGAATATTTGAAGCGAACTTGTCCCTTAACCATTTGCTGCCCAGGAAACACCCCCAGAAAACCTTCTGGGGCAGTTCTACTGATAACACAGGGTCGGCCTCAGTCAGGGAAAACTCATGGCTGCTGGTTTGCCTCAGTCCTGTGACGCGACACGGGGCTACTTAATGTCTAACTCCTGAGGATTTAAAATGAGCTAATGTGCTCCTAACGGCGGACAGCAGAGCAAGCCTTTCCTAAGAGTCAAGCTTCAGCATCCTGTCCCCTGCGCGGCCGGACCACCAGTGCAGTGGGCCACGGTGAAGCTGGAGAGGCGAGAGGGGCCAAAGCAGAAGTGGTGTCTCTGGTCCCTTGCCCTAGAAAGGTTCTGTGGTGAGGTGAAGAATGGGTTAGAAGGAGGGAGAACTTGGTTCATGGCCTTGTCCCGGAGCAGGCGACAAACTTGGTTGGAGTCTGAGGAAAGCTGTGGATGTAGGACTCAGAACAGGCTGGCTGTCACGCACACCACCCAGATAAGCCTTGGAGGTGGGTGTGAAATGCAGGCAGGACCAAACACTGCGCCTTCTTCACAAGCCCTTGGCTTCCTGCTCGAGGATTTTTCAATCCACACTGTGTAGGTTTTGAAACTTTCACTGCGCGCACGCGCCCACATACACACTACCATCCAGTCAATTCCAACTCACAGTGACCCTGTATTGCAGCGGTTTGCATCCTGTGGGTTGAGATCCCTTTGGGGGTCGAGATCCCTTTGGGGGTCGAATAACCCTTTCACAGGGTCGCCCGGTTCATAACAATAGCAAAATCAGTTATGACGTAGCAACGAAAATAATGTTATGGTTGGGGGTCACCACACATGATGACCTCTGTGAAAGGGTCGGCAAAGGGCTTCCAAAGCTGTTAGTCCTTCGGGAGCCTCCAGCCTCACCTTCCTTCCAAGGAGCAGCTGGAGGGTTTGACCACCCGCTTTGCTGTTAACAATCCAACACTTGTCCGACAGCACCATCAGTGCAGCTCTGGCACTAAAGAGAGGCTAACCTGTGCCTGCCAGGAGGGACTTACCTCCAGTGACGTAAAAGACACAGGACCTGATCTTAGTAGCCTGGGGTGACCTGTCTACAGACCCCCCAAAACTTGAGACTCAATGTCATCAAATCAATTCTGACTCATGACGACAGGCTAGAAACGCCCCTGTAGGTTTCCAAGACTGGTAGCTCGGGGCAGTGGAGGGCGCCTGGTAGTTTGGAATTGCTAACCTTGGGGCTGGCTACCCAGCTCGTAAGCCTCTTTGCCAACAGACGAGAGCCACTGAACAAAAGCATGCCCATGAAGGCACTGAGTTAACCAGAGCTGACTCTCAGGCCCGCACCTGCAGGCATGTCTGTAGCAAGGCAGTTCTTGCCACCTTTCTCCCACTGATTCAGGATGTTTGCTCAGCATTCTCAGGAGACTGCGACAGGGGGCTAGGGAGGAGCAATCAGAAGGATCTGGCCCATGACTGGATGTGAAAGGAGATGGGTGCAGGATGATGTCTGGGGGCTCTGAGCAAGTTAGGGTGAACCCTCCTAAACTTACCTGAGGCCAGGTTGCCTGGAAGTGGCAGAAGCCGGTGTGCCGCAACCTCCCTGCCTCCCGCCCCTCCACCCCCCCACATACACACACACAGTTTACTAGTGACTGCTCTGAAGTGGGAAGCCTAAGCCGGGCTTGGTTGAGGGCAGAGGCAGGAGACCCATGTCTTCTTCTGACCCGGGGGTGGGGGAGGCAGATGGTCTGGTGGATGGTGAAAGGGGTGAACTCCTAGACCACACTGCTCGACCAGCAAGGTCATCTGCACACCCCCGCTGGATGGTTCTGCCATTTCCATAAAGTGTGGAGTGAGGGTTCAGAGGATGTAGTAACCAGAGAATGGGCCCCCGTGTGAGCCCTGGCTTAGACTAAGACTCTCTCCTGAGCGGACGTCACTTGTGTCATGTGTAGTTACCTGAGTGATCCCTGAATTGTCACCTGAGAATGGCTGCGTGGGGGACGCAGTCATTTAAGTGTGCTTCTGTCTGCAGGAGGCCCAGACGTGTTCCCATGTGTGCCTGAGGGTGAGGCGCCAGGTAGAAACGTGTGCACACCAGAGGCGCTGGAGGCTGGGGTGGGTTGGGGGAGACGTGGTGTGGTGTGCCTGTAACTGTGGGGGAAAGAAAATGTGAATTTCCAGAAGACCAGCCGCTCTGCTGACACGGTACTTGAGGATGCCACACATTTTGTAAATTAAGTGGGACTGTTACCTGTGTCTACCTGAGACTGATGCTCAGGGTCACCAGAGTAAGGGAGGCTTGGCTTACTAAGAGGAACCTGCTGGAGTGGAACCTGGCGTATAAGGTGTCCTAAGATGGGGACCAGGCTTCGGCTAAGTGCTATTCCCGGGAGGGCTGTTGTGTGGGCCCAGCTCCACAGGCTGCCTGCCCCCAGCTGGTGACCTAGGGCCCTGACAGCCCTTCCCTCCCTCCTCATAGGGCCCCCTGCTGACAACCACACGGGGCTCCAGAGGCCATGGCCTGCCTCCACGAGACCCGTACCCCGTCTCCCTCCTTTGGGGGCTTTGTGTCAACCCTCAGCGAGGCATCTCTGCGCAAGCTCGACCCAGACACTTCTGACTGCACCCCCGAGAAGGACCTGACGCCAACCCAGTGTGTACTCCGAGATGTCGTGCCTCTTGGCGTGCAGGGCGGGGGTGGGCCCAGCCCCTCCCCAGGTGGAGAGCCGCCCCCTGAGCCATTTGCCAATAGTGTCCTGCAGCTCCACGAGCAGGAAGCAGGAGGCCCTGGGGGGGCAGCGGGGTCCCCTGAGCGCCGTGCGTCCCGAGTGCGCGCCGATGAGGTGCGGCTGCAGTGTCAGAGCGGCAGTGGTTTCCTGGAAGGCCTCTTTGGCTGCCTGCGCCCGGTCTGGACCATGATTGGCAAAGCGTACTCCACTGAGCACAAGCAGCAGCAGGAAGGTAGGCAGTACCTGCAGGGTCCCCGCCCCGTCTCCCCCTCACAGAGCCCAGAAGTCCCTTAGCCGCCCAGGTCAGCCTCTGCCTTCCCGGCGGCACCCAAGGCCTAACCGGCTCTGGCCAAGGTTCTGCCTCGCCTCCCTTGGATCATCCCAGTCAACCCAATGCTTGCTGACCCTGCCCCCTGGCCTTCCCAAGCTCGAGTGTGGCTCAGCCTTGTGGCACTGTGCTTCTGCCCACAGACCTCTGGGAGGTCCCCTTTGAGGAAATCCTGGACCTGCAGTGGGTGGGCTCAGGGGCCCAGGGTGCTGTCTTCCTGGGGCGATTCCACGGGGAAGAGGTGGCTGTGAAGAAGGTGCGGGACCTCAAGGAGACCGACATCAAGCACCTGCGAAAGCTGAAGCACCCCAACATCATCACTTTCAAGTGAGGTCCAGCACAGGGGCTGGGGACACTACTGTGAGGGCGGAGCCCCACCTGGGGAGCTTGGGTGGGAATGGGGCCCAGGTGAGTGCTGGGTTGACTGAGGCCTTCATACCTGTTTGGCCCCCAGGGGTGTGTGCACCCAGGCCCCCTGCTACTGCATCCTCATGGAGTTCTGTGCCCAGGGCCAGCTGTATGAGGTCCTGCGAGCTGGCCGCCCTGTCACCCCCTCCCTGCTGGTTGACTGGTCCATGGGCATTGCTGGTGGCATGAATTACCTGCATCTGCACAAGATCATCCACAGAGACCTCAAGTCCCCCAAGTGAGTAGCAGGGAGCCCTTGTGCTGGTGGCCCCTCCCAAGCACTGCCTCAGGAGGGAGCGGTGAGCACCCTGCCACTGGGTGTCCCACATGGTTTACAACAGGAAGTAATGGCTGTAGTGAGGTATGTGGAGGGACCTGGACCCCAGCTGACTCCACTCTCTCCCAGCATGCTGATCACGTATGACGATGTGGTGAAGATCTCAGATTTTGGCACTTCCAAGGAGCTGAGTGACAAGAGCACCAAGATGTCCTTTGCAGGGACAGTAGCATGGATGGCCCCTGAGGTGATCCGCAATGAGCCCGTGTCTGAGAAGGTGGATATCTGGTAAGGACCGAGAAGGGTGAACAGCCAGGGTGCAGCCTTCGGCACCAGTGCAGTGATGGCCTGGCGGGCGCCCCTCGACAGGAGCTTCCCTCCCCTCCTAGGTCCTTTGGTGTTGTGCTGTGGGAACTGCTGACCGGTGAGATCCCTTACAAAGATGTGGATTCCTCGGCCATCATCTGGGGCGTGGGAAGCAACAGTCTCCATCTGCCTGTGCCCTCTAGCTGTCCAGATGGCTTCAAAATCCTCCTTCGCCAATGCTGGTGAGGAGCCTGGGACCAGCAAGGCTGGGGAAGTGGGGGCATGAGGATAACCAAGGGACGGCCAGTATCTAGAACCCAGGTATGCACAGGACTACAATCCTAAACTGGGAGTGGGGGTCAGAGCCCCATGAGGACTTCCCAAGAACCCAGGATGCAGGATTTGGGTGAGCGGAAGGGAGAGAACTGACGCATGGATGGCAGGCAGGGGTGCATTAAATTTAAGACAGACGTGTGCGTGTCAGGCCTGCCACCTTGCAGCTACCTGCCCTCGACTTGGGACAGGCTACTTCACCTCTGAAATGGACCTGTCAAGTAGGGTTAGCAGCATCTTGAGTCACTAGTTAAGAGCATACCAGGAGAATGGGGGGAGAAGGGGGCCTCAGGGAGAGCACTGAACCTTTGTTGGGAACCTCTGGTTGGGCATTTTCCCAATGTGTATGTCTTTCAAAGGAGTTTCCGGAAAAGATTTGCGCGGTGAGAGTTCGTAGGTCTGCTGCAGGGCAGCGTATTAACAGTCTGTTTGACCACAGAATGTTTCTATCAGAGTACATCCTAGCATTCTGTTCTGCAGAGCACTTTGGGGAAGATGCCCTAGTTCTTACCTGGCCCTCCCCCGCCTCCATCCCCATAGGAACAGCAAACCTCGCAATCGGCCATCATTCAGACAGATCCTGCTGCACCTGGACATCGCCTCAGCTGATGTGCTCTCCACGCCCCAGGAGACTTACTTTAAGTCCCAGGTGCGCTGTGGGTAGGAAGGTGGAGGCCTCTGGAGGGGTAGATGGGCAAAGGGCTGTGCCCCTCCAAATGGCAGCAGAGAAATGGCCTTCACCCCTCATTCTCCACCCCAGGCTGAGTGGCGGGAAGAGGTAAAGTTGCATTTTGAAAAGATTAAGTCAGAAGGGACCTGTCTACACCGCCTGGAAGAGGAGCTGGTGATGCGGAGGAGGGAGGAGCTCAGGTATGTGGTGGGGCAGGTCAATTCTTTCCAGGTCAACCCCATTCTGAGAAGTGTGGCTTCTCCACCCCCAAGTACACTGAATCAGTCGGCCTCTTAACAAGACCCAAGGGTCCCAGGTCACTAAACCACCCGCGGGTCTTATCCAATGCTAGAGGGTGGGGTTCCCAGTAGGGGACTGAACTGGTGGCATAGACCTAGACTGGGAAGAGATGGTGGCACCAGATGAGCCCAGCTCACCTTGGGGCACCCCTCCTTCTGCCCCCATGTCGCAGACACGCCTTGGATATCAGGGAGCACTATGAGCGGAAGCTGGAGAGGGCCAACAATCTCTACATGGAACTCAATGCCCTGATGCTGCAGCTGGAGCTCAAGGAACGGGAACTGCTCAGGTAAGCCATCCCACCTGTCAGTCTAAGCCCGCCTCCTGAGTGCCTGCTTACCCAGATCCTTTTCCTGGGCATATGCTCAACTGAGAAGGTGGCTGGGTCTTTAGGCGGGAGCAGGCTTTAGAGCGAAGGTGCCCAGGCCTGCTGAAGCCACATCCCTCGCGAGGCCTCCTGCACGGGAACACGGTGGAGAAGCTCATCAAGAAGAGGAATGTACCACAGAAGCTGTCACCCCATAGCAAAAGGTGGGACCCGAGTTCAGTGGGCACAGGAGAGCGGGGACAGGTGTGTGGGAGAGGGAGGGTGCTGAGGGTAACGGCATAGATCCTAAGTGTGGGCTGGTTTGAGCGGGCAGATTTGTAATCTCAGCCTTATTACTTTCCTCACCCCCCCCACCCCCACCCCAGGCCAGATATCCTCAAGACAGAATCCTTACTACCTAAATTAGATGCAGCCCTGAGCGGGGTGGGACTTCCTGGCTGCCCTAAAGGCCCCCCCTCACCAGGACGGAGTCGGCGTGGCAAGACTCGTCACCGCAAGGCCAGCGCCAAAGGCAGCTGTGGAGATCTGCTTGGGCTTCGTGCAGCTGTGCCAGCCCCTGAACCTGGACCAGGAAGCCCAGGAGGGGGCCCTTCAGGCTGGGAGGCCTGCCCCCCTGCCCTCCGTGGGCTCCATCATGACCTTCTGCTACGCAAAATGTCATCATCTTCTCCTGACCTGCTGTCAGCAGCACTGGGCACCAGGGGCCGGAGGGCCTCAGGGGAAGCTGGAGAACCTGGCTCACCCCCTGCGGCCCGGGGTGACACCCCGCCAAGTGAGGGCTCAGCCCCTGGCTCCACTAGCCCAGATTCACCTGGAGGGGCCAAAGGGGAACCACCTCCGCCAGGACCTGGTGAAGGGGTGGGGCTACTGGGAACTGCAAGGGAAGGGCCAGCAGGTCGGGGCAGCCGGGCTGGGGCCCAGCACTTGACCCCTGCCGCACTGCTGTACCGGGCTGCCGTCACCCGAAGTCAGGTAAGCAGACAAGGTCCTGACCCCCCTTCCCTGTCCTCTCTGGGTCCAAGTCTGAAACTCATCCCCCTGTCACCTCTTGGGGGCCCCACTTGTGATGCCCGTGCTCTTTTGGTCCCTGCAGAAACGAGGCCTCTCTTCAGAGGAGGAGGAGGGGGAGGTGGACAGTGAAGTAGAGCTGCCCTCAAGCCAGAGGTGAGATGAACAGAAAGTAATGGCATGCATTCTGCTCTCTGGGGTCTAAGGGAGAGTTCAGCTGTAGCCCCTTTTCAACACATAGGTGGCCTCAGGGCCTGAACATGCGGCAGTCACTATCTACCTTCAGCTCTGAGAACCCGTCAGATGGGGAAGAAGGCACAGCAAGCGAGCCTTCCCCCAGCGGCACACCGGAAGTTGGCAGCACCAACACTGATGAGCGACCAGATGAAAGGTCTGATGACATGTGCTCCCAGGGCTCAGAGATCCCACTGGACCCCCCTGCTTCTGGGGTGGCCCCTGGCCCAGAACCTAGCTCCTTGCCCGCCCCACAGCAGGATCCTCTCAGAAGAGAGCAGGTGAGTCAGATCAAATGCAAAGTGACCAGGTTTGGGAGCCAGAAGGCTGGTCATTTCAAAGATTTGGGGACACAAGGCAGTGAAATGCCGTCAAAACTCAAGGTCCAAATACAGAAGCTATTTAACCTCCAACTTGGTGATCTAGTGCTTACCAGCTGGGCTGCAATTCAGTGGGCAGTCTGAAATCACCCTCAGCTCACCCTTGGGAAAGAGGCTATGTCCATAAAGTCTTGGAAACTCACAGGGGAAGTGTTTGTCTTAAGTCAGTAAAATTGAGCCATCATCCATGTGATGGAACACCGGTGGCATTAGGCGTTAAGCTCTGGAAACTGATCAGTAAGGCCAGCAGCTTGAAGCTAACAGCAGTCCTCAGGGATAAAACCAAGGCCACTTCCTGAAATAAAGATTCACAGCTTCAAAAGCCCTAGAAAGCAGTTCTAGCTGCCCTGTGGATGTGTGTACACCTATCTATAGCAGAGAGCACCTATCATTGCCTCTTACTTGTAAGTAAAATGGCCGCTAATTGCAGCCTGGGACCACTAAGAGTTGGTGGTCTTGGGAAATCAGTAAGTAGCTTGGCTGCCTAGACGCCAAGTAGGAGAACTGAAGGAATCTATTTGTAAGCCAAGAGCTGCCGAACCCTGAACCCTCCCCTCAATGCTTTCTGCTCTGTCCCTCACAGGGCCCTCCCAATTCCGAAGATTCAGACGGTGACAGCACTGAACTGGACAACTGCAACAGTGGCGATGCCTTGCGGCCCCCTGCCTCCCTCCCTCCATGAAAGCCACACTTATTCCTTGTACATAGAGAAATATTTATATAAATAATATATATATGCGCCACATAATCAACAAAGATGGGGCTACCCAGCCATAAGTCAAGCTCAAGGGAGATATCCCCCACCCAATCATTCAACAGAAGCTCTAGGGCTGGCAGCAGCAGTGGAAATGATTAAGTATCACCCTAGAGCTGTGGGGACGGGGAAGCTGGCCCTCCGCGCTTCACCCCATTCCTTATGTTCAACAAAAGTGGGCAGGCACTAGACAAGCCAGGAGTGTGCCTCAGGCACGATCTCTGTACCTTGACCTGATCCTGGGGTGCAGGAGAGGGAACCACTTAGATGGCACTTTTTTTGTTTTCCGTTTACTGTTTACACATTTTGCACTGGGGAGGAGGGAGGTGAAGGCTGGCTCCTCCCGTCTGAGACTTCTCAGGTGGCAATGTAACTCATTTCTTTGTCCTTCCATTTCTCTGCCCAAACCCTGGCTAAAAGCCTGGGAGGGGCCAGGTGACTGATAGCATGTGATGGCTCAGGCTGAAGGAGTGGGGTACTGTGGAAACCCAATTTTATCCCTGGGCCAGATTAGGTGGGGACTGTCTCTTGTAACCCCTGTGAAAAACCTTGAAATATAACCACTCCATGCAGGCCCAGCTGTTGAGGGTTTTCTTGGTGACAGAATGGGGTGGCAGGCATGGGAAGCAGTAGGGGCCTTGGGTTCCTTACCTTTTGAAGATGCTGGACACTTCCTTTTTTCTCACTAAATCTTAGGTTCTCAAACTTAATTTGCCTTAGGGGAGGGGGGGGGCAATTATCATTCAGCAACCCCTTTTGAAGTCACCCTGGATCATTTCAGTGCACCGCCCACAACGGGGGCCAGTACTGCCCACTTTACAAATCACTACACTAGCTCATGCTCCAGCTGTCTACATCTATTTGCAGAAATGGCAGGAAACACATCTAAATTACTTTGGTGGACGCCTTAAGAGGCGATTCAATCAGACCTAAGGCCCAACTCCTAGTGGCTCTATGGGACTTGAGCCGGTCCATCTTTCCAAAAGCAGTAGGCCTCAACTTTCTCCCAGGGAGCGAGCAATTGGTGGTGATGTTATAGAAAGAGGACTGTAACCCAGCAGATAGCAGAAAGAAACAAAAATGGCAAGAAAGTTTTACAGTTTAAAAATGTACAGGGGGTTGCACCACGAACTCTAGTCAGATGGGGTGTCTGGCTGCCCCATGCATCCTGTTCCAATCAGGTCCTAGGAAAGGCAACCTTACCCCACCATATGGAAGAGTCCAGGGACCAAATGTACATACAATGTGCCATTTAAGGATAATTAGGACTAAATGCTACCAAAAAAAGATAGTGAGAAAACATCTGAACTGGAATAAAAGCTTCTATTTAAAACCCAAGCAGGGTCCTTGTCCTTTGAGAGTAAAGGTACAAAAACAAGACAACAGGAATAAACCCACATGAATCAGTGGCATCCAGTTTCTATTCACAAAGGAAAAGCTCCAGTCCATCTTTTAATTTTTTTTTGAAAAATTCCTGACATTACAGAACTAAACTGAAATGTATTAATATTCCACTCTTACATATCCATGACAAACAGAAAAAAAATTCATGAGCCAAAAAAACAAAACAAAAAACAGGAGAAGCTTATAAAACTAAATATGGATTTCAGCATTAACAGCTGAACAGAGAAAGGAATTAAAACGCTTTAATTAAAAAATCACGAGTGGATGATAAAGTGTAGAAACTGAAAATTTACCAACTATTTAAAACCTGGAATCGCTGACTGTTCAGAAACTACACAGATGGATCATGGGTGGTGGTGAACAGCAGAAAGGGGTTATGGATGAATCTGCATTGTTCTAGCTGCTCCCCATGCCACCCGTCTCCGAGGAAAGCCTGTAACACAGAAACAAACAAGAACTCAACATTAGTGTCCCAGAGCCCAGCGGCACCTCACCCAAAAACTCTCAGCCTGGGTTGTGCAGTGTGAAGTAGAAAGAATGAGGACCAAAAGGACCAGTGTTTCTGGTCGAGGGCAGCATGTGAAGGTTTCCTGGGTTACCCGTAGCACTTTCCTTACTCCCTAAGGTCCATGCTTCTTGAACTAAGAAACACTGAACTTGCACCTTAGTCATTCAGTGTTGGTGGTGTCCCTTCAAAACATTATTTGGAGCCTTTGTTCCAAACGTGAAACACTCCAAAACCTCCCTCCTAAAGGGTTATCTCAAAACAGGAAAAGGGCTCTTTGTTGCTGAGCTTATCTTAGCTAGTCCTAAGTGACAGAATACCAGTTCAGAAACATTTATCTGAAAAGTAGCAATGAGGCTAACCCTGAGACAGATCAGACAAACCTTCCCTCTAGAACTGGCTAATTTACCAGAGTGAAAGCCTTTTCATTCAGTGGCAATGGTTTAAAACACTAGGGAAGGTGGAAAGAGAAGCAGCAGTGGACCGGGGGTGGGAATGGTTTTGTGGGTTAGTTCTCAGGAGTTAATAGTGGCAGACAAAGATGACCTTAGCTTCACCATCTGCCTAGCTCATTCTAGAATCTCAGAAGCCTGGAATACTCTTGTAAACCAAATTCTCCACAGAAATGTCTGGTTACAATGCTATTCCACATCAAATAGGGCACTGGAGAACCTGTATCCAACTGAGGGGGGGGGTTGAGATATTTGGTGTTCAGCATGCTTCACTAGCAGATGGTCCCACTTTGAAGGGAACCAAATGTTGAGACTCAAGTGTCAATTCAAGTTATATCATAAAGATTTACATGTGATAGTGTGGCCACAAGAACATGACATTTATATCCCTTAGCAATCAACAGTTGGTGGGAAGAGGAAACAGCAAGGTCCCCTCAGCTCAACCTGATAGACTTCATTTGGGAGACCCGTCAGGATTGGTTCCAGACCACTGTAGTAAAGCAATCTTGCTAACAGTGACGCAACAAACTCTTGGCTTCTTAGCGCACACAAAAACTGTTTCCCTCACACTGTTGTCATTGTTCATTAGGTGTTTAATCAGAGAAGCGCCGTCAAACCAGGCAATCACCAGTGGTTTCTGCAGTTCGGCAAGGTCGTCGATTCCCCAAAACTTCAAATGGGATCTAACTAGAGAAGTGGTAATTAACAGACCCCCAATGAAAGGGTTCACTGGGGGAAATTTAAGTACAAAGACCCAAGGACTTGCTGAATATAGCTTTGACTTAGGACCTACGTAAGCTTAAAAAATTAAGCTAACACAGTAGGGTGGCATACTAGACCCAATGACCTAGGGAGAAAAAAACTGCCCACAACGTACACCAAGACTAGTGAAGATTTAGAGGGCAGAGACAGTAAATTAGAAATATGCTAAGAGCTTCAGGGCAGGAAGGCCACATGGGGGAGCTCTAAGGTTTATAACCCATAATCCCAATTGAGGGGTCACGGATAACACCAAAGAACAGTAGTTCTCAACCTGTGGGTCGCAACCCTTTGCGGGGTCAAAGTACCCTTTCCCAGGGGTTGCCCGATTCATAACAGTAGCATAATTAGTTATGACGTAGCAATGAAAATAATGTTATGGTTGGGGGATGACAACATGAGGAACTATATTCAAGGGTTGTGGCATTAGGAAGGTTGAGAAGCACTGCCACAGAACCTTCTGAAGTAGGAAGTGTAAGCCAAAGGGGCCATGGGACACAAGGAGCATCAGAGAAGAATCTGTACAAACAGATGTAGGACACTACTTTCCATCCTGCTGCGTGTCCTCTGGCTTTCGCGGTTTCTCCACTGTATGGAGAACTGTATGGGATAAGAGGGTTACCGAGTAAAAGCAGAACATTGTAAGTTGTGCCTAATCATTTACGTGGTCTCAGAACGTTATCTTTTTTAAGATCTTTTATTCATCTGTAAAAGGGGCTGTCCATCCTTAAGATTCCTCAAAATCCTTGATTCCAATTCTCTACTCCTGATAGTGATGATGGGCGAGTGCACATGGGGAATCATCAGAACTGACTGAGGGGACTCAGAAAAGAGGTGTGTGGTATTAATTCAGAAGGCTGCAGAAAGAAGCTGTCAGTCCCTCCCACCTTGTGTCCCGCCCCGCCCCCGCCCCACCCGCAGGTGTATGCTCTGTAAAGATCCAAAGTCACTGCTCACTGCTCATGGGAGGAAAGCAGAAGCCTGTCACTGACACTCGGATTACTCACTACTGTTTGCAAGGTAAGGACTCTTGAGAATTCATCAAATTCTCATGTTCTTGTCAATCATGATGGACACAGACCTATGTTCGTTAGAGTAGCATAATAAATTGCTACACCATTCATTAGCTCCAGATCCTAAAAAGCTAACTTGGTTTATGACTTCCTAGTTGAGCAGTTATAGATCACAGACCCAGACCCACCCTTTTACCCTGCACAGTACACGGTGGAACTAGGTGCTTACTTGGCAACTTTATTACAGCTAAAACACAAATTTGGCCAAGGCGGCCTGCTGATAAACCATTGAATATAAAACAAAAAATTTTTAAAGGGGAAAAAAAGGGGGGAGGGGGATTAATGGATAAGCTTTTATTCATTAACACAGAGCCTAACACATTATTGTATTGCAAGGCAGAGTAAAGCTACAAAAAAGAAAAATAATAAAAGGTAACAGAATAAGAAAGAGCAAGAACTGTGGTTCTAGATAAAGAATTCAACAAGTCAGACTCGGAAACAGGCACTCAGCGCAAGTGGCCTAAACCTAAACAAGGGTCACCACACCGCTTCCC